CAGCAGTGATAGACTTACATTACATTTTGTGTGTTTTTAAATAAACTAAATATTATGGTAATTTTTATTATACTTAATGAAATAAATTAAATATTATTATTGATTTTATAATTTGAAAACAAATAAAGTCAGTCTGGAAACTTTGTTTATTTATTTTTTTTAAAGATAATATAATAATATCCAATAATAATTACTATTGTTTAAACTATTATTTATAAAACAACAAAAAAAAATAAATTGTATTAACATCAATTTATTTTTTTTGTTTGTTAATAAATGGTTATATTAACGTTGTTATATCCCAAAAATAACGGGAAATACTGTAAAACAAACTGAGTTTTTTATTTACTTATGAAATTTTGTTTTTAGTCGCGAGTACTTTTTTTAACTTTTTTAAAATGTACTCTTTCAGAAAGAAAACCGACACCCACACAATAACGAAAAACTCTTACTCGAATGCTAAACTGCAATTTTATGTTCGAGATTGCCAAGTGTGGTGTTTTTTGTTATAATGTCTCATAATTTTAATTTTTATTTGGTGAAATCCAAGTTGTTTGTTGTCGAATTCTCGTGTTGTATCTATCACCAAATAATAAAATGCGCATAACTACTGTTTACAATGGTGGAATTATTCTCTGTTGTTATACACAGTGTTTGAGTGTTAAAAAACAAATTTGTCAATTTGTCTAAGTTCGTTTGCATCGAAAAAACATTGATTACAAGTGAAAAAATAAATTTAAAAAACAAAACCAAATAACAAAAATATTCTATTTTTAGAAATAAATAAAATTTTCAGACTGACTTTATATTCAATTTAATATCAAAGACGTTTATTTCATTACGTTGATTATAATTATTATTGGTTTGTTTTAAAATGATCATCTTTTTGGCGAAATATTTTAATAATTGCAAATAAGTATTAATTAAAGGATTGAGACTAATTATAATGTTTCCAAAGACATACCAATTAAATATAACAAACCAAATAAAAATTAATGTCTTTGATTTTTTAAACACTTACTTTAAAATCAAACACCTGAATTATTAATTATATAATTTTATATAATGGTAATAATCGTTTTAATAAACAATCAACAAATAAATATGACTGTCTCTTTCCACATCCTTAATCAACAGCCAATATTCAAAATATGTATATTTTTATACGTTTCAACAAATATTATTTTATTTGTATTTATTTCGACCAATTTTAAATTAATATTAGTATATCGAACACACTTGCTTTTATATAGTTAAACAATAGAAAAACATTATACTATTTAATTATATTTTATATTTTTTTAAATAATTGTCATTAATTATTATAGTAGTGAAACAATTTGAAATGTGTTTTTATGTGCAAAACAGACAATTTTTAGTATAATGACACAATATAAATTGCCACATGTGGAGTTTTATTATTGATGATATGTTTTGAACAAAGTGGCTGTGCAAAGAGATTAATTTTAACCAAAATAATTATTATGTTAATTTATTTACAAACAAAATAATATATAGTTAAAATAATAATTTATTGGTTTAAATTTATAGAATTTGTTTTTTTACCAAGGGAGTAGTTTTTCGTTTCAAGCCCAAGTTTATTGGCCAAAATAAAAAATGGTTAAAAACAAAAAGTCTAATAATAATTGCATTTTGACACATTTGATATTGCTCCTAAACTTTTAGACTTTTTTATAAGTAAAAAGTAGTTTTCGAAATTTGAAAATCATATAAAAAATATATTTTGAAAAGAATTTGAGTGCCAATAAATCTATTTTGAGGGACAAGAGGTATAAAAACAAAATTTGAAAAACAGTTATCATTCAAATGAAATCACTTTTCATGTTTACATGTCTTATTGCATTGGCTTTATCTACAGGGAGCTGCTATGTTATTGACGAAACCAATCAATGTATAAAAGATAGTACGACTACACCTTGTACGGGTGCCGTGGTAGTTGAAGAGGCTGATGCCAAACCACTTTGTTCAGAGGCTTTCATGGGAAACACTGCTATCACCAGTTTTGAATATCAACCAACAACAAAATTGGTCATTGGAGCAAAAGCTTTTAAAGGTGCAACAATGTTAAGCACGGTCACAATTGAAAACAAGATTGAATCCATTGGAGAAGAAGCCTTTAGTGGGTGTGCAGCACTTACAACTATCGACTTGGCAGAAGTTAATACAATTCCAACCAGTTGCTTTGAAGGATGTACAGTGCTTGCCACCATTACCAATGGTGAGTCAATTACAACTTTTGATGATTCTTCTTTTATCACAAGTGGTTTGACTGCAATAACTTTTGGCACAACAGTCACCAAACTGGGAAATAGTGCTTTTATGGGAACCAAACTTGTGACATTAATACTGCCAACCACTCCGATAACCACTTTTGGAACTGGTGTTTTCGAAGGAATAACAACACTTACCGAAGCCACTATTACTGGATTAACCAATGTGCCAGATTCAACATTCAAAGGATGCACAACACTTGCTACAGTTACGGGAATGGAGTCTGTGGTTTCATTTGGTGCAAGTTCATTCGAATCTACTGCACTTACCAGCCTCGTATTTGCAAATGAAGTAACACAATTGGGAAACATGGCGTTCAAAAGTCTTTCCGCTGTTACTGAATTATTAATACCAACTGTTACTGAATTTGGAACCCATGTATTTGATAGTTGTGTATTGGTAACACATGCTGATTTGGCTACAAATATTGTGATCCCAGAAGGTACTTTTAAGGGTTGTACCAAATTAATGAATGTCTCTGGGACACAAAAGGTTACTTCAGTTGCTAATGATGCTTTCAGTGGTTGTACGGCCCTGGAAAGTATCAATTTGTATAGTCCACTTACTTCACTTTTGGATCCACTCACTGACCAAAAGAATTTGATGTTCCACGGCACAGTTGCGCCAACAACTTTACCAACCGAAACCCCATTGAATGCCGATTTACACATATACGTAACAGTAAATTACACTGCATCTACTTTTGGAAGTGTGAATGTACTCAAGGCTGGGTGCACTAATTTCCAATGTGTAGATGTTAGTGAACCTGTAACTCCACCAAGTCCAGCAGGAAAAATGGCAGGCGAGTTCACTCCGAATTGCAAAGCATGTGATACCGATTTCTTAAGTATTGATGGAGCTAATTACTATTGTGAATATGATATGACTGTTTGCAAAATGGCTCATGAAAATTGCAAAGTGTGTGCCGTAGACAAATGTTACCAATGCAACGAAAATATGTATCTCGAGCAAGACATCAGCAAATGCGTTTCTGAATGTGAAGATGGATATTATAAAGACACTGTCAATCTAACAAACTTCAATTGTATGAACTGTATGACTGAGTGTAGAAAGTGCACAGAGAATACCAAATGCACAGAATGTAAAACTGGTATGCTCATAGAAGATACTGGAAGGTGTACTACAGGATCTACTTGTCCGGCTGAATATTACGCAGATGGTACAACTTGTAAAAATTGCGACTCGACTAAAAATTGCGCGACTTGTGATTCAATAAGATGTTTAACATGTAAAAGTGGATATTACATGAAAGGTGATGGTTGTGAATTGTGTTCAACACCAATGCCAAATTGCGCGACTTGCACTGCAAATAATGTTTGCACCACTTGCTCGTCTGACAATCTTCAACCTGATAAAACCGGATGCAAAGCCACCTGCCCCGATATGTACTTTGCCAAAGACAATGTGTGTACTTCTTGCACTCAAAATTGCAAGACTTGTACTGATGAAAACACATGTTCAGTCTGTAACGACGATTCTTTCTTGATAGATGACACCAAAAAATGTTCCAAAACCAATTGCCCTGCAATGTATTACAAAGTTGATAAAACATGCAAGAAGTGCAAAGAAAATATGTTCTTGATGGAGAACAAGTGTGTTGATGTTTGTCCAGAAAAGTATTTCGAAATGGAAGGAATGTGTAATAAGTGCAAAGACACTTACCAAACTCCTTGCAAAGAAGGTGATAAAGAGTGTGAAACATGCTCTGGTGCATTTGAAACTCTTGTTGCTGCTTTGATCTTGGCTTTCATGCTCATTTTCTAAGCAAATTTTAATCGATAATTTTGTTATGATCATTTTTCATTTAATTCAATTATTTTTAAAAAAAGTAAAAACAATTTGGGATAATTGTATTATAATTTATAGTTGACTTTTTTATTTGATAACCATCAAATGTTTTTACATTTTTGTACCATTTTCAACCACTTTTAATAATGATACAATAATCAAAAAGAAAGATGACAGTGATTATTTTTTTATTTAAACAATTAAAAGAATTAATTTTTAAGTTGTATTCGATGTTTGTCTATATTTATTTAAAAAACACAATTTTTGCCCTCAAAAAGACTTCTAGAAACTTCAATTCAACAAAAATGTCAAGCAGCTCTTCTTCGAGTTCATCGGACTCGTCCACTTCCTCATATTCGTCGCAATCCAACGCTAAACATACAAAATCATCGAGCACTTCGACATCATCAGATCTTTCTTCCGACTCTGATTACCAATTTTCTGATGATGTCTATTGTGAAGTTTTTCGGACGAAACGCGACAGTTCAGATGACAACGATTTCCCCAAATTTGTTCTTCCAAAAAACGCAGTTGAAATTCCGCCCAAAACTTTTTGCAATCAAAAATTTGAAGTTGTTGACCTTCCAACGACTGTGAAGAGCATTGGCGACAGTGCTTTTTTCAACTGCAAAAACTTGAAAAAATTTGAGTGCCAACCTTCTTTGACAAAAATAGGAAATGGCGTCTTTGAAAGAGACTTTCAACTGAAATTGGTGAAATTGCCTTCAACACTTTCAGAGATCCAAAAATTCTGTTTTTCAAAGTGCAAAAAACTTGAGAAAATCGACATCCCAACAAGTGTCTCGAAAATTGCTGCAAAGGCTTTTAATGGCTGTGGGTTGACTAAAATCGACATTTCCACAAACGTCACAACACTTGAGAAAAGGGGTTTCTCAAACTGTAAAAATCTCCAAACTGCGACAGTCAAAGCGCGATGTGGTACTATATCACGTGGTCTCCTTTTTAATTGTGAGAAACTTTCGGTATTGCAACTGCCATCGACATTCGAGGCAATCGAAGATTTCGCGTTCACCAATTGCTCGCTGATACAAAGACTTGACATTCCAAGTGAAGTGACTTCCATAGGAAAATGCGCGTTTTCGAGAATGTCAAATTTGACTCAGATTTGCCTTCCAAACACACTGCAAGAGCTCTCCAAATATCTTTTCTCGTCGTGCAAAAAGCTTGAAAAAGTCGTGATCCCCCCTTCATGTCTTATCATCAACAAAAAGTGTTTCTTCAGCTGCGAATTTTTAAAAGAAATTGTTTTACCAGACGCAATAACTTCCATTGGAAATTCCGCGTTTGAAAATTGCTTTTGTCTTTCGAAGTTTCGACTTCCACTGGGAATTCGACATCTTCCCGAGTCTTTATTTGCGTTGTGCCGCAATTTGTATATCATTGAAAATTTGGACGATGTCGAAGAAGTCGAAGAAAATTGTTTTAAAGGGTGTGAGAAACTCTTTGTGACAGGAAGCATCACAAAGTGTCCACAAAACCTCGTAAAAATCGGGCAACACGCTTTTGAAGACACGGGAATTGAAATTTTGGTGATGCCTTCGTCTTTGACGTATATTGGTAATTTTGCCTTCGCAGACAACACAAAATTGTCAGCCATTGTCTTCAACGACAGGATTGACGTTCTACCAGACAACTGTTTTGAAGGGTGTGAAAATATCAGAGAATTGAACATTCCCAAAAATGTAGTTTTGGTACAAAGCCAGTGCTTTTCTGGGTGTAAAAAGTTAAATCTGTGCAGTTATGGGACAAATACACATTTTGAAGAAAAGTCGTTTGAAAATTGCGTTTTACTCAGCGGAAAGTGCAAAACAGAAATTGAGAGGAACACCCTTCAGACTATCAAAAGAGAGAAAAACCCATTTAATACCATCGAGACTTTAAAAATACCAGAAACGTTTTCATTGATTGGCGTCTCTTCTTTTTCACACAACAAATATCTTCAAGAAGTGACAATTTCTCAGTCAGTCACTAAAATAAGCTTTGGCGCCTTTGAGTGTTGTGAACGTCTCAAAAAAGTTGTTTTCGAATTTTATTCAAATGAAAACCCTAAAAATTTGTCAAATGAATTATTTAAATTAAAAGTTTTACCAGAAAAGTGTTTTTTTCAATGTACTGAATTGGAGGAGGTGGTGTTGCCTAATACACTGGAAGAGATTGGCGAAGGTTGCTTTTCAAAATGTGAAAAGCTGGAGGACATCACACTGCCAGAGAGTTTACAGACATTGAACTCGGAGTGCTTTTACGCCTGCGGGTTGACTAAAATCTGTGTTCCTCGAAACGTCAAAAAACTCCCCGACCGAATCTTCGAGAAGTGTAAAAAGTTGTTTCAAATTGAACTGCCAGAAAAATTGGAAGAAATACATTTCGAGGCGTTTGCGGGGTGTTGCGAAATATCATATTTTGAAGTCCCCGATTGTGTGAGTAAAATTGAGGCGGCGGTATTTGCCGGATGCACAAATTTGGAGGAGATAAAAATAGGAAAAAATGTCAGACAAATTGGAGAAAATTGTTTTGAAAATTGTGCCTTGACAAAAGTTATTTTTAGCGATCAAATGTTAAAAATAGGAAAGGAGGCATTTCTGAACAATAAAAATTTGAGAGAAATAATTCTGCCTTTCAAAACGGAAAGAGTTGGAAACAACTGTTTTAAAGGTTGTGGTAAAATCATCGTTAAAAAGTACACAAAACCACGAACAAAATAATTTATATTTTTGGTATATTTTATATTATTTCAAAGTAAAACAAACTTATATATCTAATATGCGTTTTCATTAAAATATAATACATATTTTAGTGTTAGTTAATCTTCTTATCAATAGACAGAGTGATTTATAATTTTTATTTAACATTTATAGTTTATTTTTTAAAAGTAAATTTAAAAATAAAACTTTTTTTTAATTATTTATCGATATATTTTGACATATTCATTTAATTGTCAGTACAACTTGGTGCAATTAATATATTATTATCTGATACAAAAACAATAAATTTTAAATATCCAAATGTTTTTTTTATCAGAAATTGTTTAAAATAAAAGTTTTACTTATTCATAGTTGAAATCACTTTGATAATATTGGTAACTATTTTTGGTTTCATTTCCATAAATGGAATACATTCGTAAGACAACACGGTTTTCTTTTGGAAAATGGGTTTTTGAAACATCAACAACAAGAGAATAGGTACCTGGTCTCATTACAATTTCACTTTCTTTGTGAAAAGATTTTTCAAAATTGATTATTCCAAAATCTTCATATTCAACATACTCTTCACCTCTATATTTAGTACCTCCAAACTCTATTTTAGCGGTTGAAAATGAGTCATCCGCAATAACTGTAAAGAAAAAGCGATAAACATCTTCATCTTGATCGTATGATAAACTATCAATTCTAAAATCAAGAGGACAGTCTTCAAGTTTCAAATTGTAATGGATAGTCTGAGACAATGATATTGTGAACAACAACACAACAAATAACATTTGAATATATATGATTGTGTTGTATTTATTAAATATAAATAAAATATGTTAAAAGATAATTTAACATAATAATTTTTAAATTAAAATTATTTTTTTTGTTTTGTGTTTTGTTTTTCAAAAGATTGTTTTCATTTTTACAAATGCCAAAAATGATATTATTAAGTATTAATTTGGTCATTGAAATATAAAAAACAAATTAATATTTTGGTTCATTACGAAGATGTAGTTAATATTTGTCCTCTTTTCAATTAAAATATGAAAACAATAATTTTTAAAAATATAGTTTTTAAAACAAACCATAATGTTAAATGACTTGTTTTAAATAAAAACAAAGTGTTACGATTTTGTATTTTTATGTAAATTTTTTTATTATATTGACATGATTGTAAACAAATTGGTTATTTATTTAAAACAAAAATAACAGAAGAATTTTAAACCTAAAATTATATTCATGTTATCAGTTTCTACCATTTATTAATAATATTTAAACAATAGATCGATATTTGTATTCAATGTTTTTCGTTGTTTTATTCTTTAACCTTTCGCAAGCAGAAAAAACTCCGTTAGTTGTAAGAACTTTAAGAAAAGGAGCTTATGTTGAAAATGCCACTATAGACAAATGGGCATATGGTTACAACTTTACCACAAATATAAATGTAATTGCTGCCAATTTATTACAAGCAAGTTTTAACGTAACGGCCGACCATTATATTGGAGGTGTGAAAAATGAATCTTTTATATTAAATTATTCCAAATTAGATATTTCCAATCGACCAATATTATTCAAGTTTGGAACAGAAGCTTATCCACTTGGTAAAATAGGCACATTTATAATATATTATGTCGTCGACTTTTGGCGGGCACATTACAAGATCGAAGCTGTAAGATGGCAACATACACACCTAAAGTATCTTAATTTTTTTATATTTTTTTTTAAATTCGAAAAATCACAATATTGACAATGATGTAATTTAAAATAACTAACAAAATTTCATTATAAAAATCACTCATTATTTTTAAATAAAAACAATGTAAAATGCAACAAAATTTTACAAAATTCATTTGAATTTAACATGTTAATATAATATCAAAAAGAATAGTAATACAATTAAAATGAATGACTCAACATCAGGGTCTTCAAAATTAGGATGGTTTTCAAAAATAACTTAATAATTTACAAACTTGTAAAGGAATTATTGTTTATTCCAAAATAAAACCTTTGTGTTTTCATTTTTTAAAAAGAGTGTTATTAAAAAAGTTTCCAAATATTTATTTTATTTTTTGTTTTTTTTTCAAGTTTTTATAAACTTTTGATTAAAATTCTTTCTTAAATAATTCCAATAAAATATTAAATACAAAAACAAAAATTTGTTATTTAATGGGGCTATAATAAACAATCAATTGTGACCATTTTGTGTTTGATGTGATTACATATGTAAATTAAATAGATTTTCAAATTCATAATAATAAAATAAGTATTAAAATACTTGACCAAAATATAGTTATTTAAGTGTTGAAAAACAAGAAAAAATTAATTTTAATTTAAAATTATTGAATAAAAGTTGCAACCTATTCAATGACGTACTTTCCTTGTGGTTTTTTTAACACTTTCGACTTCTTCGACAGTTAAGTATTATTTTCTATATTGACACTCACCAAACCCAACAAAGACACTCATCACATTGTCGAATCCTTTCGCATTGAGTGTAACCAACTTTTCGTGTTGTTTTCTGTCAATTATTTTGACAATCATATTTTGGAATTTTTTCATTTCCTTCAACCAATACACAACAAAGTCATTTCTTTCTTTCACCTTAAGTCCAAGATTTTCCATCAATTTGTCGACATTACTCAGAGCATTTACTTTAACATCAACTCCTTTTAATTTAACATCGAAAAGACATTCCTTTAACAGGTTTTATTTTTTGTGTATTTTTTTCTGTTAATTTATTTCACCATAATACCGTTTTTGCTTCAATCTATTTTTTGAATAACTAAAACTTAGCCTTACTATTTTTTATTAATATCAAACCATTTACTTTGAATGTATTATTATGATAATATTTTCATTTGATTTTATAAAGTAATTATGATATTAATGAAATTATACCATTTTATCAATACCAAATAACGACTTTGTAAAGGTACCAAAATTTTACTGTTTTTAAACAACAACGAAAACGATGTTATCCCGAAGATGATAGTTGGAGTAATAGTTCTTTACTTTCGACGTATTGTTTAAGAAACAATATTCACAATTATTTTTTGTCAAATTGAATATGTTTGAAAATATATATTATGTTTGAAAGAAAATATACAACGGTGTTTGTTTCAATAGTCTAATCGATTTTGTTATTCCGCTATTTTTTATCACTAATTAATAATTAGTTTATTTTTTGAAACATAAAATATAGTTGTTTTTAAGAACTATATAGTTTGTTTTATTTTTCAAATTTATTTTCAACAACTCAGAATTTTTGTTCACATCTCAAAAATAATCAAATTAAATTTTAGATAGATTTTAAGTAAAAAGGTTGAAAACAATCACACCAATAAGTTGGATAAAAACAACGGAACGTATTACAAAGAATTAAAATAACGCAAAACAGACAAGCCAGCAAACTATTATCTTTTTAAAAAATTGAACTACAACAAACTGTGTTATAAAATGTATTACAACAATAAGTGAACATGTTTGTTATATGTAATGTATATATTAATTTATATATTCAATACCAATGACATTCAAGGTGGTTGAAATGTACTTGATAGTGAATCTGTTTTGGACACTCCAAGTACATCGCCAATACTAAAAATTTTATCGGCTTGAAAATATATGTCTCGGGATTTCTGATGTTTCTATTGCGTAAATCCCGAAAAATATTAAAATTATATCTTCGATATAATATCTTATTTAAACTAGTTGTTATTTGTTAGTTGGTTTGAGTAATATCCTTGTGCAGAAAAATGTTAAGAAAAAATAAAACGGGCATGACAGTCTTTTTTAAAAGACCAAACGACAAAAAAAGAAAAAAATAACACTGCCTAATAAAAAAAATTAACAGAGAAACAAGGAAACGTGTTAAAGGGTATTCAACTTTACAGCCTCCAATCGTTAGTACACAAGGTTCTGTCCATCTTCCCAAATATCTTTGTCTATCTCAATGTGTTTTCTGTTATTTCTGTCTTTGGATAGACTTCTGTAAATTCCATTCCTACAAATTTGAGTGAAACGTCGAACTCGTCTTTAATGTCGTTTTCGTCTTACGGTAAAATGACAGGTTTTCCTTCAATACACAAACCTGCTCAACCACTTCTTTTGCAGTGATCGTCTTCTGAATTGTTTGACTGATATTTTCTTTGTTTATTCGCCGATATCAAAGTTGAGATACATTTCATTAAATAAATTTGCAATTTTTGGATCGTAATGGGTGTTGTATTTGTTGGTGTTTTAAAAAACGAGTGCAACCAAATTCTTCACCAAATAATGCAAAAATTCAAATTCTCCAAAGTGACAATCATCTAAATCTTCAATTGTGGGTATAGTACCATGGATGTAGTTTGTGAGATGTAAAATGTCACCTTTGTCAAGTATGTTGAAGTGCTATCAATAAGCAAAATGTAGATGTTAATATCAGATTTTACATATATTATTTGATGGATGATAAAATAATTAAATATTATTATTTACCACCCTTCCACCATACTTTGGGGTGGTGGAAGGTCTAAGTTTCTCCGTGCCACTATGATATCCTCTTTAATACCATTAACAATAACATCAGTGGTATAAACAGATTCTGTGGATGTTATTTTGAGTGCTTTTTGGTTGGAACTGTCTTGAGTGCTTGAAGTCAAGTTAACCCTGGATAATAATCTTCATTTGTTGTGTTGCAAAACGCCTTTTGATTGACATACTCTTGATTGGTTTAAAGTTAATTGGTTTACCTTTTTATGGTGTTTTCCCATTAAAATGAGTTATATAATTAG